CTCGGAGAACGGCCTGGTGCGCAGGGCGCAAGACGCGCTGGCGACGGCCGTCATAGAGCTCGGGAGTGGCACGCATAAGGCAATGGCGAGCGAGCGAGCGAGCGAGCCATGAACGACTCCCGAAAATTGCCTGAGCCATTTGGGTGTTTTTGTTTCGACATTTTGTTAATGGTCGAACACGAAATGGTGGGTTTCCTTTGCGTTTCCAGGCAGGCTGTTGTTCTTCGAGTTTCGCCCGCCAGAGAGAAACTCCATCGACTTGGGCCAACACGTGGATTTGAAACAAACCCGAAAGGGGGAAATCTAGTTGCCCCCGGCCCGAATTGGATGCTCACAAGGCGCCCGGCCGCAAAGCCACATTTGGGTCCACAAACTTTAGACTCATTTTGGATTTGGACAAACTGGATCGGGAGTGTTTAAAAACCGTGGATGTTGCGGCAAGGTGTCTTTTGTTTTTCCCAACTGCAACCTTATCGAACGCTACATGCCATTTAGAAACACGTGAACCCCGATCATTTTTGTATATGCACTAGTTCGAACCAGAACTCGTGGAACCTTCTCTCTTTCCCATTAACCTCTTTGGTCGTTGGCATTTTAGCACCAACTAGTTACCTGTTCTGCCCAATCCACAGTGAGCTTTTAGTTGTACGCCTTGTTAACAGTGAATCCGAGAAGCCTGGAAGTGCACACACCCCGTGTGCACGTTCTACGTGTCTTGAGAATATAATATATATATATATGCACATACGTGTATATCCGCAATATATTGTACGCCTTGTTACCAGTGAATCCGAGAAGCCTGGAAGTGCACGCACCCCGTGTGCACGTTCTATGTGTCTTGAGAATATATGATATATATATATATATACATATGTGTATATCCGCAATATATATATATATATATATACATACACGTAATATAAACATTATATATATATACATACACATCAGTGCGGAGAAGCTGGTTTCCTTGGTTGGGTATGTTTTGTCCTTCCACTTCCTGAGCCTTTGGATCCGGAACAGCCGCCGGAAGAAACAAATGCAGGGTGATGTGGGTTCCCCCAAAACGGAGAATATGAGCGCATGGTTGATTCAAGTTTCCTCGGAGAAAAGGGGTGGGTTTTGAAGGTTAGCGAAAAAATCTGTATGAGCATCCCAAGGCATGGGAGGGGTATGGATCGTACCCCAATACAAGCGCGAGAGGTACTTGAGGAGTACCAGCCTGTCCGTCTGGAAATAACCGCGATGTCGGCTTTTCCTTGATCTCCCAGAAAGAAGTGGCCCCAAAAGGGCAACAAATCCATCAAGCATTTTCCATGCCCTACCCAGATCCCACTTGCCACTGACGCAACCAGTCATTGTCCAATTGGTTTTAAAGGGTACCTACGAGACAGGGAAATGGATCACCGGGCTGCACCCAAAAAAAGGCGTCCGCCCGGTCGCCCGGGAGGTCCGAGTGCTGGCGCGTGTAGCGACAGACGCATCCGCCTGGCTTCAGGACTTTGGAAGACATGGGTCGGAGTTCAAGTGGGTGTTTGTGTTTGTGTGTTTTACTTTGAGGGTACCCTTTTTGTGAGTGGAGAAAAAAGGGAAGTCAAAAGGAAAGCCACCATTATCAACCTCCCCCATTTCGAGATACGCCCAACTGGAAGCTGTTTGAGTCATTGTCATGGTATCTGAAGCCACCCCCATCAGTCTGGTTAGGTCTTTTGATCAATCCACTCACGAAGTGGGGTCCATTAACCTTTGAGAATGTTGTTGGAGGGGTTCAAGAGGGTCTAGAAGGCACTTGGACCCAAAGCGATGGTCATGATTCCCCGGGATTTGGACCATACAGTCGCCCTAAACTAAAACCCAGAAATGCTCAAGGCCTCTCCGCAAGGGCTTTGTTCGACCGGACCTTCTTGAGGCCTTAGAGCCTTGCTTAGAAGATTGGATTTCCATCCTCAGATATTCCTCTGTCCCTTCTCAGGTGTCATGCCCAGCACAAAGAACGCCGTTTTGGAGGTGTCCTTTTTGGTCAGCTTGAAACTGAAAGATGGGGATTCCACGCTGGTTGCAGCTAGGTTCCATGTAAATTCACCGGCAAGCGTTCCATGTATGTTTTTCGGGGATAGGACACCGCTCTGTTTTTTTGCTTCAAGCTTGTCAACAATCCCATAGAGCAGGTACCCCTGATCAGTGTATCGATTTCCAGGAAAATGTGCGATTGGTTGCCACGTCAAGTAGGTACCCGTTGTAGTTTGAGGCACGCAAACCAAAGATTGATGAGACAAGATCCACCATGTGAGGCGTTTTTTCTTTGAGCCGTGCCCTCTTATTTCTTCAGCTGGCTCCATTCGCTTCCACGCGCTCGTCAAAGCGGCAGGAGTCGGCGGGTACGGTGCTGGCCGTGGCAGAGGGCCACTCCAAGACCGAGAGCCCGTCTCTCACGGTGAGCACGGCCCAGTCGACGCCCTCGGAGGCCATGGCTCGGTATACGCCTTCCCGCGAAGGCCGGGGCCGGTTGATAAGGGGCGGCCGTTTGTTTGTTTTTCTCCGCTGAAAGTCATGGGTTCCTGACACATCCGTGGACCCAACGGGGCACAAAACGTCCGGAAAAGGAAAAACGAAGAGCTCTGCACGGGGGTCGTATCGATGCAACTCTCTTTTTGTGTCATGGGGTTGTCTCTGAAGCTCCACATCGTGACGGGTTGGAAACGTGAAGAGGATGTTTGAGGACGGCTGAGGCAAACCCAAGGGCCCTTGATTGAGAAGGCAACATATCCAAGTGGTGATTTTCAGTAGGAAGCCCCCTTAGAAATCATCCCCATGGACATGACCAAGGGTGTATGAAGAGATATCCCTTTAACCTGTTTGGGGGTTCAGGACTTATGTCCTTAACGTCTCAAAATAGGGGCACCCCCAAAAAGGTGGGTTTCCTGTTGGTGTCCATTTCATCCACGTAGAAGGGTGATTGTTTTTCAGCTTCCTTTTGGTGTGGGACTACGTAGGGTAGGTTGCAAAGTTTGCTTCAACGACCAAGCCCTGGTCCAAGGGGTACCCTGAAAAGTACACATGGGTGTTTCTCATTGTTTTTCAGATGCTTGGTTTCCTTTTGGCTTCCCTTCAACATCATCCAAAAGGGTCCCATCACTAGCGACACATTGATATCGGCAGGCACCGCTGGCACTGCCTGCAGCCGAGAGGAGCCATCCACTGCTGCAGAGACGCTGCTGTGCGCCTTCTTCGAGGAATGGGCGCAACATCAGCCCTGGCCTCAGCTGGCGAAAGACATGGCCCCTTTTCTTGTGGTGTTTGAAAGGAAGCCACAAGGAAAACCACCCATTTGCGGTTACCCTAAAAAGAAAACGCAACACACCCACATGCTAGGTTTTGGAGTCTTCAGAAGAAGGCTATATGTTGGTGTGGACTAAATGTGGAACGCAATTAGCTCCCTTTGTCACAGTTTGCTCACATCACCGTTTTTGCACAAAGGCGAGGGGATAAGCATTCCGTTGTAGCAGGGATCCGTCGCTCGGGACAATGGCGAAGGTCTTGGTCTGAACCCCTTTGGCTGCCTTGGGGGGACAAAAGAGGAAAAGACCTCCATACATAGATATGTGTGTTGTGGGGCTCCCCTAATTTAAGGCACGCCACAGCTTACACATCAGGGACGTGCGTGGCTGTACATGTGTACACTCACTGCAGTCCGTTGCCCGAGCACTCTGAGGAAAGATCATCAAGCTGATACAAGGAGCCGTTTGCGCCGGGGGAAATAAAGACATTTGTGCCCTCATTTGATCTCATTTGAGTATTTGTTAAACGAACTGGCAGCTGGTTGGCTGTTCTGCTTTGAGAGATGTGTATGTGATGAGCACCCTTCAAAGTACCCTCCCACCAGCTAACGTGGAACCCAGCAGAAAGTGCATGTTTCTCAACGGATCCTCGCTTAGGTTCCATGTCAGTAGATGGGACGGCAGATTGGACACCAGCTGAGTCAATCAAAGACTCATGAAAGTTGCCCCACTTTGCAAGCTCGGGACTCCCAAATGACTGGGCTCCATTTCGGTTTCCCTCTAAAGTCTTAGTTTTGACTAGTCTGGGCCATGTCGGCGATCTATTGCGGGATGTGTTGACAATTTTATGATATTCGGCCCCGTTTGACCCATCCCCATGCATCTTGTTTCGAAGGAGGGACTCTACCGACATGCTGAACAACGCCTGCGCGTGCGCAGAGAGCTGGTTCGTCAAAGGCCACGAGCCAGCCAGGCAGGCGATCAGATCATTGCTGACGCTGCGCGCCTTGGAGCGATCGGGCTGATCTCAGGATGGCTCCGAATTTGGTATGGCTTTTGTTTTTTTTGGGGTAGGGGTGGGTTAAAGGGAAACCAAAGAAAAAGCCGCCCATTTTGGGCGTCCCGCTGATGATCGACCCCCAATCAATTGACGTCTGTGTAAGAATTGTTTTGTTGCATTCCCAAAACGGGACACAGGTCCCATTCTCAGAGATCCGACCCTCAAAGCCATTCCCAGACCACCTGGGAGCAGGACACGTGTATGTATTAAATGCTAGGATTTGTCTTTTTCCCATGGTTTTTTGCTGGGTGTCACTTTTGGACCCGGCAGTGCTTGTCTTCTTTGAACGGTGCAGCTTAACTCGTTGCTTTGAAAACCAAGGTAGACTTCTCAAGGAACTACGCTCGCAAGAAGAGATGATGGTGGATTGCCCCTCCACGGAAGTGCTCGCGGTTGTGGCTGAAGAGCGGCCTACCACCTGCCCGTTGCACCTTGGCATTTTGATTGCGAGGGTCCAAAAGGGCCCAAGTGATCGGATCCCCACACCGTCCTTAAGATTTTCCTGCAAGCTTTTGGTGGGGTCGAATGGGAGCACCCCGGTTTTATAGATTATTTGTTGTGTGTGTGTGTGCTGGACGTTGACTTGATGTTGCCGATGGTTCACTTGGTTTCTATGGTAACCCTTAACGTCTCCGCGGAAAAAAAGAAAGAAAAGAAAAACAAACTTCCATGGACCTGATTCAAGTCAACATGGTCTTCCAGGGATAAAATGCAGGTTGAATGCTGGTTGCTGATAGGCTATATGGAGATGTGTTTTGTGTGGGTACCCTTTTTGGGGTCGGTTTGAAGGGAACCAAGACATACCACTTTTTTGGGGTCCCCTATTTTTACACGCACCCATATTTTGGGGGATGTTGATATTCTACTGGCCTCCCTATCCACTCCCCGCAGACAAACAAACAAACACCCAAAAAATAAGAATACAAAGTAAATAAACATGTGCATTTGGAACGGGATCTCCTTGTAGGGAACATCCCCCCTACACAATGGATTTCATGTGTGTTTGTTCAGCGGAGTGACGCCGTGGCACAGGGCTTGCAGCAGACATCGGCTTTTGCTGGGGTTGGGCTTTGCAACTGGGGCTGGGCCTTTCTTTTACTTAAACAACCGCAGTCTAATTCGCCTGGACATGAAAAGAATCTGTCTAAACAAGATGTACTTTTATCATGTTTGACCTGGCCCAAGCAGGTTTCCCCGATGTTTGAAGTCAACCAAAGGTGTCTTTTGATTGAGGGATCTTATTGGGACCCTCGTTTTGGGGAGCAACATGGTGCCAACTCCAGAAGCACCTCGATCCAGGGAGGACGTGGTGGTGGACGTGGGCCAGCGCCCGGCCGGATTGCCCTGCACCGGCGCCGGCCTCAAAGAGATCTCCGAACTACGCACAAAAAAAAAACCGGGCCGATGTTTTTCATGTTTGTTCTTTTTCCTTTTTTCTTTTTTTCCGATGCTTTCCCCCGAGTTCTTGGACTTGAGACATTTTTCCGCGCTCGCGCTGTTGGGCCGGAGTACTCCGCACCAGAGGTGCTGGACTGTTTTCATTTTGGATGCTTTTTGTTTGTGGACTATTTTCCTATGAGCGCTTTTTGAGGGTTCCTTTTTGGTTTGGCTGTCAAGGGAAACCACAATGAAAGCCACCACTATCTTGACACGCATGCATTTTTTGTGGTCGTTGAATTGTTGGTGCTGCCACTTTTGAATAAGGAACCCCGCTATGCGGCACGGGTGTCCTTTCGGTTTCCCTTCAATAACCACCCAAAACGGGTACTTACCCTCAGAAGTTCTGTAATACCAGGGGAATAGTCTCAAGATGTGCAAAATGTGAGGGTTGGAATCCCACTTTGATATCGCAGAAATGTTCATGTGCCTAGCCATGCAACGACCCAACCACCCCAAAATTCACAAGCAATTACCTGTCATTTTAAGGGTTGGGACCCTCTGATGCAAAAGAAAAGCGGAAAAAAGTACCCTCTTCCAAATCATGGAAGCTGACGAGAGAGCTTGGGACTGCAGTCCTCTTGGGGCCGGCTGGCCGGGACATCGGGATTCACTTAGTTTCTCACAAACACCAGAGGAACTTGTGTTTTGCCCATGGCCTCTTGGGAGAACAACCGCATTTTACCACGGCCTATATGCATTGGCCTCTTAGAGTAACGCTAGGCAAGATTCACATCCCTTGTGATCGAACCAACGCCAAGAGCTGGGGGACGCGCCTCAGCACGGGTTCCAGTTGGTCTGCCCCCCGCCCTCCACTTTGAAATCTGGAAGCAACTAGGTCCAGCTGAACTGCTGAACACAAGATGATCCTTCAAAGAACCGCACAAAGCGGCTACTGGGTTATCCAACGCAGGCTTGCGTTTTGCGTTTGAACCTGTGTTTGTTTGCTGAAGGTGTCTAGATGGGCTCGATCATCATGTTTCCCTCCAAGAAAATGAATGGGAGAAGGCTAGTTGGCTGATCAATTTGGGCCTGAACATGTTCTTCCACAATGTGGGTGTGTTTTGAGGGTACCCTTTTTGGATGCTACACCCATTTGGGGCCGGTGCTCGGAATTCAGTGGGAAGATCTGTTTCTTAAGTCTGTTTGAATCCCGGACGCCTGTCTGTTTGCCCCAGGTCTGAATTTATGCACGTGGGTAACATGCAAAATTACTGGTAGGGACTGGTCGTGTATGGTTAGTTTTAGGACATGGGCAAACAGCGGGGAGGACGTCGCGAATAAATGTAAGGGAAGCATCAGCAAGTAATATTGTCTCTGGCTTGCGCTGGCAGTTGTGATGCGCAGTCAACTGGATTTGAGCATGTCGATCAGACCCTTGCATTGCTGAGGTCCGGGAAACGAGCAATGGTCCTTCGTCATTCATCCTGACGCACTCGTCATTCAGCAGCCTGGATAGATTGTGAGTTGGATGGAAGTCTTGCTCTCGCATTTGCTTTGCGTCACCCAATCCACCGCTCGGATTGTTCATTCCCGCCCAACGTGAGGACAGACGTTGTCTCATAGGTGTTTTTTTGGTTGTTTTGCTAGAAAAATAGATGGCCCTGGTTTACCTGGTGGTTTAATCATTTACCAGGGCCACCTATTTCCCCTAAATGGACACCTATGCCTTGTTTGCGAACTGTGTATATTTGCCTTTCGAACTTGGCGTTTAAAACCCTTGTGTAGCGGCTGGCGCTGCTGAGGCAGGCTGCTGATTGGCGCGGCAGCATGCTGCGGGGCAACGTGGGCTCAAAGTTGAGGTGGACCGTGGCAGGTGGCACATGGGGATATGTCAAGACTCGAAGCGCTGTTGGGGAGGCGAACAGGTGCTCATAAATGGGATCCAGCTTGCATTGCGTGACAATGTGTCAATGAAGCGCGTTATGTAGAAAGCAGTTGAAACGACTTGGGGTCGCACAAGTTTTAGCTCAACTTCTTTGCATCCGACCCATATTGTTTTCTCATCCAATCAGAGCGACCTTTTGGGGGCATGAGATGCCTAGTGTGAGCCATGATGAGACCTCAATGCGAACCCTGAATTCATACATTGTCTGGTGGATCAATTGGGGGTGTGTTGCAGTGGATCCTTCACTTTTGAGAAACACCCCTCGCAATAAATCCGATGGGTTAATTAGTCAACCGACATGATATGAGGCAAATAGAGTCTCACAAGTTACCCCCTGTTCTAGCCATCATGGAACTGCCTGTTCAGGTCTAAAAATTGCTCGGATGTTCAGCTTGTCCATGCTGTTGGAAAGTGACTCACTTCCCGAATTCCCTGACTTGAGTCATTTTTTGGGCAAGGGCATTTTAGTGGCAAGCAAAAAGTCCAGGGACCTTTTCTGGACCAATCCACTCAAGAGGTTCACAGCCAAGCTGCACTCTAACCATTCATCCGAAACCGTCCGATCACCAGACGTTGGTGTACTCTTTTCTTTGGGTCCCCTAAACAACACCCACCCAGGTTGGAAAGACGCGCATCTGAACCAAGCTCCTGTCATCCGAGGCAGCGCACAGACGCCGATGCTTTGTGCACCCCTGTGGCGTGTTAGCGCCCGGCCTTCTTCTGGCGATGCCAACCTGCGCGGAACTCAGGACACCAATCAGTCCAACGTTACCCTCAACCCCCGTTCAATGACTGGCCCAACTTTGGAGAACTCCTGAGGTAGACGATGGTTCTAGGAATCCCTCATTGTTTTACTGGGGAGTTGGACTCTCAGGGATTGCCCTTTAGCATGGCGCCTGACAGATGGCCCTTCTTAGAGGAAGCTTATCTTTCAGGGACCCTCAGATGCTCTTTGTTTGTTGGGAGGCTCCATGTCAGGGTCGAACCATGGAGCAGAGTCAGACATATCGAATTTCTGACCCCAAGGACACCTATCCAAGCCGAACCCGCGCCCCCCCTCCCCCCCCAAAAAAAGTTCCTCAGACGGCCACTTAACGGGCCTTGTCCTCTTGGAACCTTCGTAATTTCAAGCCGCTAGCGGGTAAGAATCCGAAGTGAGCAATAGCAGTGACCAAGCAGTAGACACTTGTACAGCCATGTAAAACCCTAAAGTCAATGGGTGAAACAGGCGCTCGCGTGATCAGGGCCCCCTGCCTGGGTGCTCGCCACCCTCTAAGAGAAGTTTCCAAGAACCTTTCGGGAAGGGGGGGCCTTAGGTCACATCAACCCAAAGTCACACACCGACACGGGTGTTTCCAGAAACACGGCACCCAAGGCTTGATTTCATCGCCTTCCCTTTGACACTAGAAGCTATCTTTTGTTCGAAGAGAGGAACCCACAACCCAGCTGAAATCGCAGGTTTCCCAATATGTTCAACCAAAAACCCATTTGGGTTTGTCATTTTTTAGGGACCCCCCCCTTCCTCTTTCAGTTGGCTCCGAGTCACGAAGACGCGCCATCAATGCTGAACTCAAAAGAAAACGGGGGAATCGCCCACAGCTAATGTTTTACTTGGCGTCCCTTCAAAGCCAACCAGAAAAAAATAGTGGGGCTTCCCCCAAACAAGACGTGACATGCCCAAAATGGCCTCAGCCGGTGACGAGATCTGAGGCTGCGGCTCCGCATTTGCCCCGGGCCGCAGCTTAGGAGTGCACCTTCACGAGGCCCATCTCGAAAAAGTTAAAAGCGGGCGGCTCGGGGCGGGGTCTTGGGGGTGGAGTTTTAAACCCGAAAAGCTCGGGGCAAAGCGAAATCATGGCGAAATCCAATTTTGGGTCCCTCATTCTAAGACACCGCCAGTAGAGCATGGATCAGCAGTTTTCCTGTTTCATTGCCAATGTTCTACTGGCTTGAATGGGAGTGGAGCCAATGATTTCTGTTTGGAAACGCTGATTTTCCCATATGAAGTACCGTCAGAATTACTTCTGTTGAGTTTGGTATTCGGTGTTTCATTGATATTGTGAAAATGCACACAACGATGGCAAACGATAGGGGACTCTCAACAAACGATACCCCTGGAAAAGAATGGAAACGCTGGAAAACGATAGGGGCGCTCAAACTAAATGGCGAAACGGCCGTATGTAGGTAATTTCGACCGTGCCTCATATATGTCCCTCCCGGTCCCTCCCTTTTTTCTGTGGCCGGGTTCTGTGGTAAAGGCCGACCGCGGGGAGGGTACTCGGCATTTGCCATCGCAGCGTTTGGGGACAGAATCAGTGGGAACCAAAAGACAACCAGCCATTCGTGGCCTCCCTTTTGACACATACTCGCCATACCATCCCCACACACAGAATCACAGCCAAACATGAGTCACGGTGGAAAGTCATCGTTGTGGTGTTGGGCCTTGTTCCATGGTAAGGACATCCTCACACGGGATTGAGCTTGGCAAGACAAACGGGCTCCGATGATACCTTGCAGAACAAGAATGTTCTGTCTGTCTAATAATCATGGCAGGATGGCAGGGCTCAAACTAGATAATCATACTTTCCACATTTTGCCCGGCCATGGCTGGCATTATTTGAGCAAACATCTTTTGTGGGTGTCCATCATGCGTTGCCAACAGGCTGCAAAGCCTGTTGAGATTTGGATTCATGATGCAAGGACTGTTCATGTTTGAAACGATGGCATTCACTATTGCTATCCGGGTTTCCCCATGAGGGGAACACAACTCTTGAGCAACCCATAAGGGGTTGCCTATTTCGACTGGGTTGTGCAAACCGATTCCGCTTTGGACAGCCCGGAGTCCACGTTCTGTGATCCCCGGAGACGTTAAAATGATGAAGTCATGAGGATGGCCCTCATTGGTGTCACAGAAATGGTTACCGTTGCCAGGTGCATCTCCGGTGGCGAGCGACCGGCACCTTGACCTGCGATTGAGTGACATGTGAAAGTGCCGTGCAGAACTTGCGTCACACAGCTCTTTTGCTCCCTCCGAATCTGTAAATTCTTGGTGGCTCCCAGCCATCCCCTTAGCTTTTCAGAATTTTAGTGTTTAGTGGGAGGTTTCCATTTGACCCACTAACAGTTAAACTTTTAGCAGGGGATCTGAGGGCAGCCCAGAATTGAGGCCTCTATTGGACTTCCTTGAAAGATGGGCAAGCATGACACCACTGGCCCCTCTGGACCCTCCCGAAGAAGCTTAAGCAACACCCATCCCAACAGGTCAATGATATCGGAAGTGGGTGGAAGAAACTCTTGCGCCCATGTTGCGACTCGAGTTATTCTGTAAAGCGGGGTAGACCTGGGAACTCACGGTCCCTATTTCACATGTGTAGATAATTGGTTGATTTGCTTGTGACTCAATCCACAAAGGGCTTCCCTATTTCGCGACAGACCCACCTGGAGTCTCCGTGACCCTTGAACAATGGGGTCCCATACCCAGATTACTCGGATGCGCTGGGTTGTCTCTTCTGGATGTTGTTCCCTTTTGCAGTGGTTCTTTTTCTGGGAAATCAAGGGCAAAACCACAATTTTTCGAGTTCCCTTCTTTCAAATCTGATCCACACACCGTGGAGACCCCTCTGCATCCCACATTCCCGAGGCTGCTGTCTATCCGGTTCGCAAGCTCCGGTGATCGCGGAAAAGCGCTCGCACACCTTCGTGCTGGCCTCAGAGCAATCAAAACCTGAGTGGAAGGGTGGTACGTGACAGCTCGGTGTGGCCGCCCGTTTAAGTCTGTACACGGTTTTGGGTAGACCTTAGTAATTACCGGGTTTGTCGTGTCTGAGATGGTTTCAACAGACCCTGGTCACCCTGGTCCTCTGAGATCCAAATAAGGATGTTCGCGCAACTGTGGTTTAAAGTTTATGCGGGCAACAGGAAGTTGGGCTCCGGGTCTCGATGGATCCATCCGGCGCGCCGGATCGTGACGGACACAGCAGGAGTGTTGTCCTTGACGGGTCAACGTTTGGGAAAATCTGAGACGTGTTTGCCCCCGATAATTGTCCGACAATCAAAAAGACTTGGATCCTAGGAGACCCACAAGGCACCGTTTCCCCGGTGGGAAAACGGAACCCGCATTTGAGGTTCTATCAGTCTATTGCCAATCTGCGAGGGCATGGTGGACTTACCTTCCGCAAAACCACGTCTGGCGTGGCTCATATGACCTTTTGGATTATTGCTGCTAGCCCATATGGTTTAAACGGAGAGGAAACATAAGGAAAGGGCCATGTGCTCACCTGGTCGAAGGAAGTTTCCAAATGAAACACAAGTAAACTTCAGTACGTCATACGTCTAAGGCTTTCCCCTTTCATGCCATCATCTCTCATGGGGGTGTAACTCTTGCCTTCTGACCACGGATTTGTTCTTTGGGGTTTGTGGCTTCCCATTCCACTTTCGCCAGTGCACTTCCCATTTCACCCATGGCTTTTCTTGGTTAGGAAATCAACTTCGGGTTTTGGGGAATGAACCCCAGAGACCCCCGTAACGGAACCTTATATTTTGTGATCATTCCATCCATTTCATTTCCTGCCTAGTCTGCGCCCTTCAAGTGTCCCAAATAGGTCCCTCACAAAAGGACAGGCAGCCCCATAATTGTGGGTGTCTGGGACTTCTGTGATACCCTACAAGCAAAATGATGGCACGGGTCTATCCGCTGGAAGGGGGGTATGGGGTTTCAAGCGGATCATCAGACCATTTTCTGTGATACCTTACAGACAAAGTAATGGAATGACCCCAAAATATAAACCATCCCTGGTTTGTTCCCTTACGGGGATCTCTGGGTGCATTCCCCAAACTCCAAAATGGATTCCCTTTAGAGCCGCCCCAAGGCCACAGCTCGAACCCATCGATCTCGATCAAATCGACCGAGGCGAGGGCCGGGCCGCGGCGCTGAAGCGCCTGCTGGGCCAGGCCGCCGCCTTTGCGCGGAGCGCGGTGGATGAGGCCTACGCCGACGTCACACGAATCCACAACCTGCACCTCGGCCCGGTGTTTGTTTTTTGTGTTGCTCCGTTTTTTGTTGGTTTTAGGTGTTTGGTTTTTGATGTGTGTGTGTGTGTGGGTTTGTCTCGTTTTCGGGGTACCCTTCTGGGCGTTGTCGGTTTTTGATGTGTGAGAGAAGGCAGTTTTAATTTTGTTTTATGTTGAATTCACTCCGAAATGGTTGGCATAGAAATCCCGGCTTAAAAGATGTTCACTGTTTCTTTTTGACACCCCTTTGGGGGTGCATCTCAGATTCGGGCTCCGCTACAAGAATATATATATTATACGTAGGGTACACTAACAAGGGCATGTAATCTGAACGTTTTACGCATTTTTGTCATACCCTCGCCGCACCATCTGTTTTCTCATGCTCCCCATGTCGGCGTTCCCCGGGAAAGTCGAGGGACCGCGTGTGACGTTTGTTTTTGGGATTGAAGCTAGGGAAACCACCCCTCTGACGACAAACCCACCTTGCGCTGTCCAATTCGATCAGCCTTTTTGTTGAACGCCTCGTGCAAGTAGCGGCGGCGCACGTGTTTTGTTTTCAGCCAGCGACATGTTTATGTTGCTCAAAGGTGTTGTTCTCAGATCAGATCTTCAGTGTATGGACCCAGGAAGACCAATTTAGTCTTGAGCAAAAAAATGGTTTTTGGCCAATCAACCTGGGAAGTGAGTGACAGTTCCGAAGTCAAACATTGACTTTGCCTTCAGCAGGATTCATCTTGCTGATTGAAAGCATCAACTGCGGATTTTATTCGATACGGAAGAACACAAGATGAATTGGAGACGGATACTGCTTCCACATTGACATGGGTCAGCCTCAAAAAATCACCCACCCCTTTTGCCCCTGGAATATGGCGGTTGCATAAATGTTGGCAACCCTTCTTCTTCTTCTTCTTCTTCTTCTTCTTCTTCTTCTTCTTTAAGGAGTAGGTCACATCGCCTCTACTTGTCCATTTCCGCTCCCCAACACATTTGACGACGTGTTCGAAGGAAAGGACAGCCCCCAGTTGTTTGACCACCCCTCACATCGGATTGATCAACAACTTTCCATAGATTGACCCCTCGGGAAAAGATAACACAAAACGACAGAGCTCGGCCAGCCACTGGTTTCACGTTGTTTCTAAAGGCGGGTGACCCCTCTTAGGTTTCTTGTTTGGTTTCCCTTCCAATACCAACCAAAAGTGAGCAAGCCGCTATTGCAGACACCATGTCGTTCAACCAGATCAAGAGCAAGAAAGTTTGTCCATGGCACATTCGAATGTGCCCCTTGCATGATCATTTATCATTGTCGGTTGCTTGTGTGGCAGTCCCTAGCTTTGTTGCAAAGCTCTGCCAACTTTTTGGACTCAAAGAAGGAGGTGGAACCCGCTTTGTCAACAGACAAAACTTCATGTGAGTATTTCACTAGGTAAAACCCGGGGCCACTTTTGGATGTTTCAAGGATACGGGGCTGGGAGTCCACACAGGCAAGACATGCCTGGAGAAGCTCCCCACCAGACAGCCCAAAAGTCCAGCCGCTGCAGAACAAGTCGAACTGCTGGTAGTCAATTTTGCTTCAGGAAACTATTGGATATGTCTGAAGGAACTATCGTATCATACGGATACGCCCTTTCCATTCACTTTGTCGGATACTGACTCATAGTGAGTCGTTGACAAGGGGAGCCGTTGCAGCCTCGTAGCGACTATGAGTGACTAATGGGCACTATCAGAGGCCCAAAACAAGAAAACTGTATTTTGACTTTCCCATGCCCCTCCCCAAAAAGGTTTCAGCAGTATTGCACTTACCCCCAAGTCGACCCGACCCCCGCCAAAAGATGGAGGTTTTGTAATGAAATCCAGACTCAGGTGCTCAGCCGGATTTGAGCCAGTAAACAGACTGAACGCCAAAAGGCGTTCACAGAAAACTCAGAAAACCAAATGGGTGGACCGTTTTTTGAGGGTACCCACCTTGTGGTGGAGAACCAAAATGAAAGCCCATGTCAAGGAGGGTCTCCTCAAAAAAAGGCACGCCCATATTGGGTATGAATTATAAGAGTTGGAACCACCACTTCTGGTTGGTGGACATAAATTCCCAAATGATGTGTCACCTGTTTTCCATGTTGGTTCTAAAGGGAATCTATCACTTGAAATTTGTTTAGTTTTCCCTGCGGACTCAACTAAATGGATGATAAACAGGGCGATGCTTCCACAGCCTTTTGCGAGGCTCCACCGTGCGCGCCTTCGACGGCAAGGCCGCGACGACGCCCGCGAGGAGGAGGTGTTCATCCGCGGAATCTGCGGCAGCGGACCGCACTCTCCGTGACAACGACTGGAAAAAGATCGAGATATCGGCATTCATGTCACAGCGCGTGTAGTAGAAGTCCGCTCACTCGTTCCACCCTCCAACAAGTCAATGATGTGATGATTGAAGCATTTTCTTCGCTCAGATCCTTGGCATGCTCCTGGTGGAGTTGCTCTCCAACGTCTGATAAAATGCTTGGCCCGGCATTTCTGACTGTAATTGTAATCAAGGTCGTTGTGAAGCACCAGTGGTAGGATGTCCGTGTCGGATCTCGTCGGGCACATGGAACACAGTCTCGCGACATACTGCTGGTACCTGAGAAATGCTGGCTTGTTATCTGATTTTGGTCGTAGGTGCTCGGGCACGAAGATACACGTGGAATGTGTTTCAACAATGAATTGGCACTCGTGAAATCCTGAAGGGTGAACTTGATGAATCTCTCATGTTCGAAGGGCTCTGCATTGAGGGCCACTGAATGAAGAGCATGTTCATGACTCTCTCCCTTCCTGTCCATGTCTCGTCATTCCCTGTTATTTCATCGTTATGTCACCTTCCTTCTTTTCAATTCCCCTTCATTTCCTTGGCATTTTCTCGGTATGTCCGCTTCATTTTCCATGTCCTTTTCATTGCCAGTCATTTCCCTACCTCTCCTTTCGTGTCCTTTGGTTTCCTCGCCCTTTCCCGTTTATTCCCCCTTCACTTCCCTGTTCTCATTCCGTTCCCCTTCATTTCCATTTCAGTCTCTTTTGTGTCATTTTGTGTCCCTTGTATTTTCCCGTGCTTTCCCGTTATTTCCACTTCCTATCCCCTGTATGTCCTTGCATTCCCCTTTGTTTGCTCCCCTTTATGTCCTCCCCTTTATTTCTCTGTATTTCCTTGTATTTCCCTTTTGTTCCCCGGCATTTTCCCGAAAGAATTAGCTTTGTTTTTACGTTTTTGCAACAAGGAGGTTAAAAACACCGGGTTTTTTTAGATGGAAAAACCCGAACCAGCAAAGAGTTGGCAGGGGGATTCGAGAGGGACCCCTGTTTTGTCACACCGGCTGCCCGAAGATTACGTTTAGTGGAACTTCATCAAATTGCCGCTTGATACGTGGAGAGCCCCCCCTCCCAACCTAAACCTTTCCCAATGATTGCCCAGGGCGTAATAGATAGATTTGTTAAACAATAACCGAGAACAATCTCATTATAGCTAAGAATGGTAGTGTATTACCTACATATTATCTGGGTGAAGTATAACGACCTCACACGACCTCACCCCAGGTGGTTTATGTGGGGAATAGCCTTTCAACCACCTTATTTCAGGTTGGTGAAATATTATCAATCACCCAGATTTTATCCCCTGTTATTCGTATGACATCCCGGTATACTTGCCTGCCACTCGGTGTCACCTGCATGTTACTCGTACCACCCCTATGTTACTTATATAGCACCCTAATGTTGCCTCCCCGTAGCGCCTTCTTTATCGCCCACCCGGGTTGCCACCCCCCCCCCGTGGGTGGGAAAATTGCACCAAATGTGGCGCGCGTGTGTGCGCGGCGTATAAGAAACGAGATCTCTTTAAATGAAAGAGATCAATTCAGTGAATGAAGCACAAACGCATCCTCTGTCTTGTTTCGATGCACGAAGCGTACATCTCCCTGTCTTTTCCGTTGCATCCGTGGCGTAGCATCACGCTTTGTAACAAACTCAATCTAGTAGAAAAGAATAACTGTTTTATGAAAAAGGAGATGGACAGGAATGGAACGAAATGAAAAGGAAACAGCCACGAAATAGAATCGTCATGGAACAAAACATATTTGGAGCACATGAAAGATAGTGGAAGCACAATTGCAAATGTAATGACAAGAAATAGCAATGGAAACAAGGCATGAAAAGGCGTTGGAAAGAAATGGAAAGGACGTGAAAATGAAAGGAGTGAACATTGACAAGAGCGAAAAGGACATGTAAGGAACGGAAACAGCATGGAGATACAATTCAGAGAGCTGGAAAGGAGACTCGCCGCTTCTAAATTATCGACACGGGAAATTGCGAAACTAGCACTTTCTCGGCCTGGCCTTGTCAAAGGAATGGAAACGAACAAGAAAAAGGGAATGGAAATGAAAGAGAAGGGAAAAGGAAAGTCGTTGAAAAGGAAATGGAAGCAAATAGAGAAATGGAATAGACAAGAAACGGAGATGGAAAAGTGTCCAAGGCCAGCCGACGTAACACATCAAATGATGCAGTCGTTTGTTGTCCTCTTTGCTCCATTTGGCAACATGACGCGGCAATGAGTTGATTGGCCGGAGCAAATCGAACCTGGCTAGACGTGCCGCGTAGAGTAGTCATGTACTTCTGAACAGACATCTCAAGGAATTCTTCCATATCATAGTTCACCGTGTTGACTGGAACACCACCCAGGGTTACAGTCCCCTTTATCTGATTGCGCCCTCGATCTTTGGCTTGGTGCGAAGGAGATCGCACCCTTGCTTCAGATTTCTTTTGGGACCCGACATTTTGAAATCATCCACGTAGATAACCAGCAGTAAGTTAAGTTCCTTTTGGACATTTTCGGATGGCCATTCCGCCCCCACAGGCACTTACGCCTTTGTGGCAATGTTCTTCACAAAATCTCCCAGCGTTGGGGTGGCCACACAGGGCTTTCACCATTCTGACACGAAATTTGTCCTAGCTTCCATCTGGCCAACTCTCCCTTGGAGCTCCACCAAGGCAGGGCCTTCTATGTAAGCCTGAATGTAAGCCTGGCTGGATCGCATCGGCAACTTGAACTTCTTATCCTTCGACACATCTTAGGAAGTTAGCCCAGCATGACGCTTTAAACGTTGCCGGACTATTACCTATCCTAACTCATTCCTTTCTCTCCGCCATGATTACTAAGGCAAAGAACGGGTGGAGAAAACAAGTGTTATAAACATAGAAAAATATTCTTTCACTCCTCTCCTCGCAAGGTAAGGAGATATCTTTTCGTTTATATAATTAACATTATCTTTGTTTTGGTTTATAACGATTATGACTCTGGAATTTCTACCAAACATAATAACAACATGATATGAAAGACAGAGAATGAACGCTTTTGGATACAACCCTTATTTTTGAAGTGCTTGAATCTATGATACTAAAATTTTAAGGAACGGATTTCGTATTAATAAAACATAGAGATGAAGCAAGTTGAGAATAAATAGGTGAGATTTATAACGAGATAAAATATAATTAATAAATTAAATAGATAATATGTATAATAAAAACAATATGTGTGAGATTTTGGATGATGTCTTATATAACGATTGAAGATTTGGAGTTGCAAATATTAAAACTGTTTTTGAGTATTTTCGATTGTATTTATAAAATTTGTATAAAGGATTTTTAGTTATTTTTTTTATATTTTTATTTCCGAAATGGGAAGGACATTGAAGGAAATGAAGGAAATAAAAAGGAAATGGAAAGGAAAGGAATATTTTGTGCTTGGCAATTGTAGATTTATTGCTGATAAAATTGTATGAAATTAATTACGGAGTCTGTTCTTTTCCATGTCCTTTTTATGTCTTTTTTTATATCTATTTCTTTTTTATGTCTTTTTAATTCTCCTTCCATTTCGTTTTCAAGTCCTTTCTACTTCCTTTCGATCTATTTCCATTTCCTTTCCATTGCATGTACATGCCCTTTCGAGTTCCTTTCTATTTTGGCTTCAAAATGTCCGGGTCCAGCTGGAAATAGGAAAATTCGCTGGATATTTAATCATTTTCTTCTTTTTTTATGGGCGAGAAAAAATGAAAATTAGACAATTTACAAAAATAGGTCTTAATATTCCGGAAATCTAGTCTCCTCTAAATAATTGGAAAATTGGGAATATCAGAAAAGCCAAATTTTCTATTTAATTAGAAAATATTGAAAATAGAAAATTAGAAAAAGCTAGGTCCTAAGATTCCAGAAGTTTAGCCTCTTCTAAACAATATCCCTAGCCAATTTGTCCAATGAAATAAACAAAACAGAAAATAGAGAAACATATTATTTTTTAACTATTTATTCTCATTAATTAGAAAATATGAATATTAAAAAATCGGCTGGTTTTCTAGCTATTTTTTCTAATTAATTTGAACAAAAAATGAAAATTAGAAAAAATAAGTCCCACCATTCCGAAAACCTAGTCTCCTCCAAATAGATAGAACGATTAGAAGAAATATAAAAAATGCTAATATTTCCAATTAATTAGAAAATATGAAAAAGAGAATTGGTTGATGTTCTAGCTATTTTTCCAAATTAATCGGAAAATTTGGAACATAGAATTCATAATTGAGTGTTTAGCTATTTTTTAATTCAAACAGAAAAGGTTGAAAGTATGAAAAGAACATCATGAACATGTTGATGAAATGATGATGACGGTGATGATGATGATGACGAGGATGATAGGGGGGTGAGCCTGGATAGACTTTTATAAGCTTTCTACAATCTGTTTAAATTAGAATATTCAGCTAGATAATTATATATTTTTCAATATGTCGAATTTTCCTAATAGAAAAAACATAGGACATTCCGGACAATATGCCTGGCAAGACCTAATTTGGCTGTCTCAAAGTAGGAAATAGAAAGGAAAAACCTAGGAGGAATGGGAAGGAAATTTAATAAAGCTATTTTGCGCGTAATACGTTATAATAACATGTATATAATCTTCTCTTATATTATGTTCGTATTACCCCCGTGTTATTTGCATGACACCCTATATCGCGTCCATATTGTTGCCGTGTTAAAACACTAGAAAATAATAGATCGTTGAGAATATAATATTGATTTTAGATAAATAGAGATAGATATATTAATACAGAATTAGAAATATATACATAAACAATAAATAAAGGTTATTATTGGATAATATTTAAACAATAAATTTTGAAATGATTTAAGACACGGTATATTTCGTAACTTTATTAAAATATTGGTTTGAAAAAATAATAATGATTGAAAACGAATACAAGTCTTAGTATTTAAACTATTATAAGAATTATATTGATCGTTTTGTTCGATATTTTGAATAAAT